TTCTTTTTTTTGAATGACTATAATACACAGACCTGAATTCACTCACCTTTTGTTGGCACTTTGGGCAGGCCCAAACCCCTTTGGGGACAGTTTTGAGAGGAGGGTCCAAGCAGTTGAGATGATATGCTCTTGGACATGTACCACATGGTTGCAAGTTAATGCCACGCTTGCATGCTGTACAGTGTTCATCGTGGTGAATTTCATTCTAAAAGAGAAGAAAAGGGTAGGTTGGGCCAAATCAACTCTCAGTGCAGCTTTCCATGAGCAGCACTTGGAGCCACTACTTCACCAGAGAGACCAAGCAAACTATCTTTTTTCATAAACTTCCTGGCTGCTATCGAAGGAAAGCCAACAATTTTGTCCTCGTGAACAGCAAAAAAGGCAAAATTCAATGAATTGAAAGAAACAAACAAACAAAAAAGACATAATCAAACAATCACACAGAAAGCAGTCACACACGGATGAGTCAACTAATGTTTCCAGACTGCAATGTTATAATTATGCTGCTCTATTTTTGAGAATGTGTCATTGTCACTTCCAACACACATATATCACCAGGTGCAGTTCTACTTTGAGTGGGCCAACGTCAATATGTAGATCGCTTGTACGTCAAGTCCAAAGTAAAAGCAAGCAAGCAAAAGTTTCTGGCAGGGGAAAAAAGCACAGTTTCAAGTCTTATGCACATTGCTTTGAAGAGCATCTAGGGAAACAAACTTGAATACTCTTTCTCCCACCTGCCCAGTATCAGAAATTTCCTGTAGAGGGCCCTCATTCCCCTCGTTTCTATTTCGTTAATTATTATTTTCTGATTTTAAACCATGCAGATACACTATGACAACCTTTCTCAAACAAGACTGATTAGTACTTTATCTGTAGTTCATTTTATATATTGCTAAGTCTCATTAACTAAGTTACAATGTCACACAGTAAATTGCTATGCTAATCTGGTGGCAATGTTAATTACTCTTTGTATAATTAAGTACATTTTAATAAAAGAGAGACTGATTTTTGAGCTCTCATGCTTTGTGACTCATTACATAAACCTCAATTTTCTTACTAGATTCTCAAGATGAAAAAAGTGATTTATTTAAATATATGTATTTTATAATCATTTCAGAATACCATTTTTACAAAGTTTCAGGTCAGCTTTATCTAGTATCAGATCCTGAATGCAAAATTATTTTTGTCCAAAATACCTTTCAAAAAATGTCAATATTAGAAAGTGCCATTTAAATATAATACCTTACCAGAGAGAGATTTACTCAAGTAGAACATTAAATATTTTTAGATGTTTATTGAAACCATAAAGCTAAGCTAACATTTTCTCAATTACTGGATTCTACAAAGTATTAAATTTAAACCTATAAACATGAAAGCACCAAGTTCAGTTTGTTCTGAAACTCTGCTTTAATGACTTAGGTAAACTGGAGAGATTCCAGAAATGATGGTAGAAAAGGGAAAGAAAATATTACAATTTTGTATTCCATCAAAGACTACATAATTAGCAGACAGTCAGTGGTAATATACAAATCTTGCTAAACATACCTTCCAACATGGATCCTCATTTGCTAGCACATGAAAGAAGGGCAGAGAACAAGTTAGTGGACAACACATCACGCAACGAATTTTAGTCAAGCCATGACACAAGTGATGAATTGGCAGGGGGAGTTATAGCCAGTTATTTTAACATGGACATGAGAGAGTGACACTTGAAATGGCAACAATGAACATTTTAGTACTCAGAACTGCAGGGTGTTTAGGTTTCAGGAATTATACAGCTGAAACTCTAAAAATACTGAAGATGTTAAAAACTTGCACAGTACTACAAGGTTGATATCTATCCTAAACATCCAATGGATAGCAACTGCCCGTGCTTAACTAGATAAGAAAAAATCTTAAGGGTTTGACTTTTCCAAGGCTGAACATTCTTGCTCCTAACCAGACAAGAGCTCTTAAGTAGATGCTTACATTTTAAGTACAGGAATAGTTCCACTGACTTACAGTTAAGCATGTGTTTAAGTGCTTTTTTGACTCGTGGACAGAGTGCTGAACACCTTGCAGGATATGACATTCTATTACCATCAATTCTTTGACATCAGAATTACTCACATCCAAAATCTGTGTCATGGTCTGGCCTATTGCTGAAATGACTCTTTAATGGTTGTAGCCCAAGCCTGATGGAAGGAGGACTAGTTAGAGGTGATTGAAAAAATACATTGCATTTTTTAAGAAACTCTTTGTGGCAAAATACATTCCTTGGGGGGTTTTTTCAACCAAAAAAAAATTGGATAATGTCTATCTGCTCTATGAATACTCTGCACAACAGGGAAGCTATAATTTCCACTGTGAGTCAAAAAACACTTGGGCAGAAAGCCCCACTAGAAACCCCTGGAATGTCTCTCCTCAGTTCCTGTCAGTCAGCTGATAGCATGGCCACTCTTTGGACTAGGGAAGGAAAGTTAGGTGGAAGCTTCTTTTTTTGTGCTAATTTTCTGATCACATATTAGATGGTGTGTGTCTATATACTGCCAGATTTTGATCTATATGCCCAAAGCTCCATCTGTTGTGCATGTACACATACACGCACACACAGCACAATGGAATGATGATTATTTAGATAAATGGGAGACATAAAAATCATTCTGATCAATAGTGGCATGGAAATGAAGAGATTTCCCCCAATAAACAAAATCTGAATAACTGACATTTCACTAAGAATATCACAAGTGCTATTATCTCCTATATTTTTTGTAAAGGACAGCTGTTTCATTGAGGTTTTTTTAAAATAAATATACAATACTTTTCAAAAGTAAACAAATTATTTTTGGCTCACTTTGGTAACATAGTTAGCCTACTCTAAGTGTCCACTTGTTTCTCTTTTACGGAATTACCTAAAGTGAGAATTATTTCGAAAAGGAGGACTGAGTAATGAGCCAGGGGTGAGCTATGCAATGAAGACAATAGATTTCGAAATAACAGGCAGCTTATTCTGATGTCCCTGTAACCCTCATTCCACGAGAATGTTAAGGGACATTTCGGAATAACACTTTATTTTGAAATTTAGTGCTGTGTAGTTAATTTTGAAATAGCTTATCTCAAAACGCTATTCTGAAATGGCCCTTAACCCTTGTGGGAACAAGGGTTACAGGAATGTCGGAATAAGTCACCTGTTATTTCGAAATCTATTTTGAAATAACGGGCTGCTTCAATAGATGCAGAATAGCTATTTTGGGATACTTTTGGTATCTCGAAATAGCTCCGCAGTATAGACATAGCCTAAGTAATCTAATTGTCTTCATTGCATAGCTCACCACCTTCTCCTTATTCAGTCCTTTTCCAGATAATTCTCACTTTAGTTAATGTCAGCCAGTAAGCTTTTTGGTACAGAGAGACATTGTCTACACTAGGAGTTATTTTGAAATAACTCCCCTTATTTCAAAATAAGTGGAGCAGCCACACTACCAAGCCTGTTATTTCAAAATCTGTACTCCTGCTTTTCTTGGGGAATAAGCTTATTTTAAATAGTTATTTCAGGAGTTTTTCATTTATTTATTTTGAAATAATTTCCTAGTGTAGACATGCCCAGACTGTCTTGTTGTTCTGTGTTTGTACAGTCCCTAGAACAATGGTGTCCCTCACTAGGACTCCTAGGTGTTGCCACAATACAAATATGTAACAACAACTAAGCCTGTGAGCTACCTAATGAGGACAGACAATGAAAAGGTTGTTCAGCACAGCAACAAGAATTTTAGATATTAGGAAGAATAGTTATAGGGCTTATTAAAATAACTAAAAAATAATGTAAAAGTGTCATATCTTAAAAGCAGCACTGTGACAATCATAGCACTGAAGCTTTGTCACCTGTCTAAAAATATGGATACAGAGGAAAAAAGGAAATTTACTGTGGGTCTGAGAGTAACCTAGCTAATGTTGTTCTCTCTTGGCAATTGTATACTGGGAAGCATACGCAACAATTTTAAGTTTTATAAGAAGACTGAAGAAAATGTGATATCAGCAGGCTTGGAAGAAAAAAACAAAGAAGGTTACAATTTTGCATCTGTATTAAAATGGTACCTTTAATAGCACTTTTTCATACATAAAAATAAAATTTTATTGTAGAAAAAGGATAAAAGCCCCTGTCCAGTCCTACATCTAAAGAACATAGGGTTTATTTACAGTAGAATCTGTGTTGTAATAACTGCATGAAGAAAAGAAATATTCACATCTATTATAGTCTTCTCCTCCTCGTCTGCAATGTATTCAAGCCTGTCATCTTTCAGTTCTACATAATGCTCTTCCTCTTACAATGCAATTTTTATTCCCTTCCATGCTCTGCTTAATCCCCTCTTCTCAATTTTTCTCTTTCTTCCCTTTTGCCACTCTCTGTTCTGTGCCTTTTCTCATGCTGCTTCTTATGCCTTCTTCCCAAGGGCCATTACTCTTCTTTACCAAACTGCTCCTCAGTGTTGCCAATTGTTTTTATCATGAAATCTTACAAAAAGTTGGTGTTTTCCTTAAAGCCTGGCTCCTGGACTCATTAAGTACATGAGATTCTCTCTTTTTCTTTGAAAATTAAGTTTCTAGCTCTTGTAGTTACAGAAAAGCTGAAAACCACAAGATAAATTAAAAGACACTCTTATTTATTTTTAAAAATCTAATCTCATGGGTTTTGAACATGTAGGATTGTCAATACTGCCTCTTTAATATCTACTTTTCCATATACCCTCCTATTTAGGAATGACTACAACACTGATGACCTGATCCTTCCACTGATTTCCCAGGGCTTTGGAGATCAGGGTCTCTAGCCATATAACCCTTTAGCTTTATCTTTTTGTTTTGCAGTGTAATCATCTATTTTCATTGCACGATCCAAGGGGCAGGGGTCTTGTATAGATTTGCACCCTGTGGTACTATAGAAGTAATTAATAACAAATACAGCTAATAAATATTTAACACCACATCATAATAGCAATGTACTCATTTCAAATGCTTACCTCTCGCTGAAAGGAACAAGGGGTTATTCAAATAATTTGATGCAAGGCGTTTCCGCTGTGAAGGGAGAGAAAAGAAACCATACTGTAATCTCAAGAGCTCTAACTCTCTTATGCTTTTCTACCCTCAGTCTCGAAGGAATTTCCTTCATGCATAATCAGTACTCAAAAAGCTAATTCTGTGACTCAGAATGTAGGCTGGTTAAGGCTCCTCAACCATATACTGCTGCATTATTTATCTTCTAGGAAGGTTTCTTTTATAGACCAACTTTATTAGATTTTATAACAAGAGGTAAATGCAAACTGACTGGGCCTCAGGCATGGTTTCTGGAATCTGTAAACAGTTCTAAAGAATCTGGCACCCAAACAACATTTATCATAAACAAATATATACTCAATTGTTACTGTGAGATAACACTTTATTTAGTGTGAACAAAGTTGGTGATGAACTTTCCACAGGAGGGGGATAGAAATCACCACATTGTGTAACAATTATCTGCATTTGATGCACGTAAATTTTGATCACAAGCTGCACACAAAGGCCTTCAGAAAATATTTCTCCCTCCCAACATTAATATGTACTCCCTTTACATGTCAGAGGTCATTCCACTGTGAAAGAATTTCAAACTTATGGAGACCTGTTCGCTAGGAACTTGACTGAGAAAACCAAATAACATCCCAGATGGTAACAGCTTTTGGTCACTAGAAACCTATGTTTGTATTCTAGACAATAAAGGTCTCCTTTCACCCTAATGGCTTCCCTGAGCCATCCAGTTCCTGTGTTGTGAGATTGCAGAGTACTGTATTCCTCCAATATATGTTTACTTTCAGAAAAAAACACAGTTTTCTTTCTAATAAATTATTTATTTTGTGGTTAGTAAACTGCTCTATAATGTCACGCTCTTCAAAATACATGAATGACTGGACGCTAATGAATTTTCAGTTGACATCTGTTCCTTCAGAAAACATTCAGCCTGAAACATAGCCCTCCTTCTGTTTAAAAAAATATACTGCCCAGGGTAGAAGAATGGAATAATTTCTTAACAGCATAAACCCTACAAACATGCTTCTGGGAAGAGATTTAGCTGCAGAAACAGAAGTCCAATTTAAAACAGCAACTGCTCATTCACAATCTAGGAGATTAACAGCACAGTGAAGCACATTTTCTTGGTTCCGGCCATTGGAGAGGAGGGCAAATAAGTAGCGTAATTTATATGCAATTTCAATTTAAACAATCATGAATTAAAGATCATCCACGAGATCAGTTGTAAATTAAACTGAGCTAAAATGCCTGAAAAATGCCACAAAATACCTCTACTGACTGATCAGTAAATCAATCTGAGAAGCTAATTGATTGGAAGAAACCTGTATGTTTCCATTTTATTTGAATGACATTCCCAATGGTCAGCCTTTACTGACAACTCTTAATGAGGACAGAGCTGGTCAGCCATAAGAGTCTCTCATTTTAATATTCTCTCTGGGTGCATCTACACAGCACCCTTACCTCGAAATAGCTTATTTCAAAATTTGGCGCTGTCTACTCAGCGCTAAATTTTGAAATAAAGCACTATTTCGAAACGTTCCTTAACCCTCATAGAACGAAGGTTACAGGGAAGCATGTCCGTTATTTCAAAATATATTTTGAAATAACGGGCACGTTTAAAGACATGGGGAATTGCTATTTCAGGAGACTTTTGGTTTCTCGAAATAGTCCCGCTGACTAGACACAGCTTCTATGTGTTCTTCTTTACTTCATGATACGCTTTTGAGAATAAGTCTAGTGAGAACCAAGGACTAGGGTATGATAAATGTGTTTACCTTCTCTCTTCAACTCTGTACATGTTAATTTAGTTATTAAAAAATACTCCTCAGATTAGGGCTAAAAACCATGCAATATAAATTTTAAACAATTGAGGAGCAGTAAACTTCAAGCCAAATGGACCTCATATAAGACAACACAAATAAAATACAAATAAGACTGAGGTCTCCAGTGTGCTGGGCACTAATATATAGATAATCAAAAAGAGAAAGTCCCTACCTTGAAGAGCTCACAAGTGGAATGAATATGATATAGGGGGAGGGGAAAAGGAATCATTAATATTTCCCATCTGTAAAATAGGGATAATTTAGGCAGAAAGAGATTAAGCGATTTGCCAAAAGTTACAAAGCACGTCTGTAGGCAACACTGGGAATAGTACTCCGATCTCCTGAAACCCACTCCACTGCCATAAGCCACAAGACCAATCTTTCTCACAAATAAGCAATCAAGAAACTCCACATTTATATTCTGCCCACAAGTTTCCTTCTCTCAACATCAATTACATCTCCTCTACCATATTGACCAAAATAACCAGAATTCTCGAAAAGCTGATTTAGCTAAGAGTCTGCATTGTTGATAACTTGTTAAGCAAAATAATTTTCCTTTGAGTTATAAAATACAGGAAAAATTAATAAATGTTGCTTGTATGTAAAGCTTGCCAGATACCAAAATTGCTATTTTATATGAGATTTCATTTTTTTCCATTCTGAATTAGAACTGGAACAGTAAAATTTCAAAATTTCCCTATGGAACAAAGATTCTGAAAAATTTTAATTGAAAACCATATATTTTGTTTAGATCATGTCCAATAGCCTCCTGTCAAAATGTTTCATTTTAATGTGGTTAAATGTTTCATGTTAATAATGTTGATTTATTTTGTTAATTTTTATTACATTATAATATTAAAATGTATAAAGTATTAATTTTCATGATAGAAAAGTAAAGCTACACAACAAATGAAAAACGTTTTTAACTTTTTCAAAACATTTTCCATTATCAAAATAAAATGGGAAAGTTCGTATGTACTTTCTCCCCCCTCAATAACCTTAGCTCTGAATACAAGGCTGTGAAAGCTCATTGGTCTGAATACAGTCATATTGGAATAAAAGAGAGACAAAGTTAAATGTCAAAGTTTCAGTTCTCTAGAAAATAAATGTTCTCTGCTTTTTTCACTGACAAGTATTAGACATGCAGCAGCTGTGCAAGTTTCAACATGCTGACTTTGCCACTGTTCTTCAGTCCTGACCTGGAAAGACCCTTCTCTATGGAAAAGAGAGTAATTAGGTCCCATGTTTATTTACCCTTTTTTGGGAGGGTCAATTTTAGATACTGCACTGACTTTTTATTAAGTTCCAGGAGCCATTTTTACGGATAAATGTACAAGTGGTCATCTTTGCTATCCTCAGGAAACAGACAACCATATTAATTATTGCAGGCCCATGAAAAGCTCCTGGACTGGGATATGGGGGCTAAATTTGAGCCCACACATAACCCTGATAAATCACCTTAGTTCAAGTCCCTTTTGACCTCTGTTGAGACCACCAACAAGGGCTCTAGTTGGACCCAAATGATACTCTGATGTGAAATCTATTGCCTAGAAACTGAGATAAAACATATTTGTTTCCTAACCCCTCCCCCAACATCTCTCTTTTAGGTAAATCAGGTTCCTCATTGCTATGCACTACAATAAGAAGCACTTAATCCGTTATTGGCATAGAGCAGAACCGTGGTAAAAAATGAATGATAAAGTACCTCAGTTTCCAAGAGTCCGCTATAGGCTGGGTTTGCTGTGCTTCTTCTCTTTCTTTCCTGACGCTTGCTCTGGATTTCTGTAACAATGGTAAGAAACATGCATTGTGTGTTTTTTCATCCATCAGGGGAATGTAGATCTAAGTTGTTAAGCAAGATGTTCTTGCCCCAGCGCTTTGGGCACTGTGTTCAGTTTCAGATTCTACAGTATAATTGGGTTGCAGCAACACTGATATTACCCGCAGTTCAAGATCTGATATTACTAAGCCTTTTCTTATAAAATTCAAAACCCGGAAGTTTTTATTTTGTCATCCTCCAAAAATAGGCTTGCTCTGCACTAACAAATGTTATTGTTATATCAGAAATATGTTTAGAATGTACCATCACATGGCTTTCAGGATCCGTTATTACAAAAAGCATATCAAAGGTATGTCTCTTGCAAGTTGTATCAAGTAAAAATCACAGGACTATTTTGAGATCTTACTATGCATTGCTTTTGTTTCCTTCAGATTAGGATGGTGATGAACATCAGGGTCATAATAAGAGGCTAATTTTAATCTTAACTGTGGACTGACAATTTGTCTGACCATAGCATACAACAATATTACAAGTTAAATCTACACTGGCACTTTGCTGCTCTGCAACTTTCTGGCTCAGGAGTGTGAACGCCTCTGAGCATAACAAGTTACAGCACTGTAAAGCGCCTTTGAAAATGGGATCCCAGCACTGAGAAACATGCTCCTACCATTGGTAGATACTCCTCTTGTGGAGATAGTTTATACAGAGAACTCTCTCCCAGCACTCCTGCAGTGACCACACTAACTTTAAAGTGCTGCCACAGCTACACTTTAATTTTAGAAGTGCAGACAAAACCATGATCTTGTTCATAGACTGCAGTATCTTTGCTACTGGCAGTGGCAGAGATAAGGCCTTCTAAGGTCATCATAATTGAAATTCCTGAGGCACTGAGTCACAGTCCTCTTTACAAGTGGGGAAACAGGAAGAGAAGAGTTTTCCTACACCAAAAGGAAATAAGGCTACGTTTAGACTACAAAGATAAGTCAGAAAAAGATACACAAATTTGCGTATCTTTTTCTGCTTTTCTGTCGAAAGAGGCTTTTTCGAAATTTGGCAAGTCTACACAGTGCCAAATTTCAGAAAAACCTGCTCTTTTGACACATCCCTTATTCCTCATAGAATGAGGTTTACAGGGATGGCGAAAGAGTGGGTCTGCTTTTCCGAAATTTTTTTTGGAAAAGTAGACATGTTCCTTGAACGCGGCATTGCTTTTCTGGGATACCTCTGTTAGTCTAGATGTAGCCTAACATTGGCAGTAAAAAGTAGCATGGCATACCTCTGTGAATACACAAAGATGTACACAGGGTAAAATCCTGGTCCCCTTGACTTTAATCAGGCCAGGATTTCACCAAGTGTATTCACTTTATTCTTTGCAAACTGCTTGTGAAAATACAGGAAGGTGTTTATTATCTCCATGTATTTTATAAGACACATTTTTCAAACTGACTAGTAATCTTGCATGTGCCTTTCTCAGAGCTCAGCATTTTTTTGAAAGATGTCAGCTTGGGTACCGAAAATCACTAGTCACTTCTAGAAAACTGAGGTTTACATACACTATCTTTTCTCATAGTGCTGGTGAAAAATTCATGAGACTGAAGTCTATACATTCATAGGCAGCAGCTGTGCAAACTCTTCAATTCGATGATATCCGGACCATAAGGGGCTACTTCTAGTAGAAAGTAATTAGTTCATCCCAAATGCGCATCCACTCTGGCTTTTGCTGAGGTGTCCAACAAGTATGCTGGAAGGTTTTTGTGATATACACACTCATTCACGAGGGACTGAATTGAGAGAGTCAAGCTCAAGTCTCTCACAGGGCATGCCCAGTCACCAGATGGCAACAACTTTTTATCACTGATGCTGGATCTAGGATGCTCTCTGGTGACCCACTCTAGTGAAATGTTTGGTTCTCACCACAAGTGAGTGTGTGTGTGTATTATTTTTTTTAAAGAAAAAGCTAAAAAGAAATATTTTGACCAAAGGCCACTTCAGACATTTTTTAAGTGACCCTGGGCCACCCCAGAAGGCCTCACGTGGAAGGGGCAGGGCCAGGACACTTCCATGCTTCCCCACCCACAACCCCTGATTGGTCTGGGGGTGGGGAAGCACACAAAGTCCTTGCCCCCCAGAGAGAACGGTCAGCTGTTCAGAACAGCTAGCGGTTCCCTCTAGGTACCCATGCCCCTGGCGGTGGGAGGAGACTTCGCAAACTCCCCCTTGCTGCCCCCAGATCAATCAGTGCCTGGGGAAGGGAAGCATGTGAAGTCTCTAGCTCCCTGCTCCTGTCCTGCAAGGGAGCACCATGCTTAGAGTCAACCGCCAGCTGAGCAGTGCTTTAAGTGCTGAGCCCTTTGCAGGGTGGGAGAAGACTTCATGTGCTCCCCTGTTCCCAAGCCCTGATTGGCTTAGGGGTGGGGGGAAGTGCGTGAAGTCTCCTTCCACCCTGCCCCCATCCTGCAAGGAACATGTGGTGCTTAGAAGCGCCGCACCTCTCGCAGAGCAGGAGGAAACTCTGCACTATCCTCACACCCAGGCCAATCAGGGATTGAGGGTGGGGGAGCGCGCAAAGTCTCCTCCTGGCCTGCCAGGAGCATGTGGCGCTTCTAAGTGTTGTGCACTCCTTGCAGGGTGGAGGCAGGGCAGAAGGAGAGTTCACATGCTTCTTCCCACTCCCATGCCCTGATTAGCCTAGGGATGGAAGGAGCTGCAGGGCCTCCGTGACCTGGATCAACTCGCTTGGTGGGCCAGATCTGGCCCGCAGAGCCCTTTTACCCACCCCTGCTTTAGGTGGATGTCATACATGAGTTTTGTTCCCCAGGAAAGCATCATTGCACTATCATCATCATCAATGAACATCTCTTGTAAATTAGTCTATGTATCTCATACTGACAATGATACCGAATGGCATGTACCTCTTAAAAAAATCCAGCACAAGGTTCGTGTGTTCAATTTATTATTTAAACCCTCAAAAGAGGGCACATGTGACTCAGGTTGACTCTTTGCAGAGTAGTGTGATATTCCCAATGAAAGGAAATAAACTTTTTTGGTAGGTAGCTGGAAGGGTTGCTAGGCTCACACACGTGTTCCTGCAGAAGTGGGTCACAGGCTTATAGTCCATAAGCTGTCTAGGGCTCTCGACCACAAAATAAATCAATAAAAAAGGAAAAAAGATATTAAAGTTTTTAATGACCGAGTCTAATATGCTTTATGTTTTTAATGGCCAATGATGCCTGACAAACAGCAATGCCTGATAACAGTAAACATGACAGAGGACTGAAATAATAAAATCTCAGGAGTGTGAAATCTGTGAAGTACTTTTCTTTGGCAGTTGTAATCACCCCTAGTTGTGAACAAATACCTCTGCATAGTAAATGGTTTTATATGGAGCCATTTATTTAGAAGTAGCAGTAGTATTAAGTAAATTTGTCTGAAGGGACTGATTTTGTAGGATTAGAACAATATGGAGATTCAAAAAGTAAGTCTTTGCATTTACAGTATAAAAGAGAAAAATGAGTGCTACCTGGGATTTTCAACATAGTGATATTGAATTAGCTTGCACTGTCTACTAATTTAAATGAAAGCAAAGGGCAGCAGAATTATTCAAAATTATGCTACTCATATCATAAATGTAATTTGCACTTTATCATATTTTCAGATTCTTCCCTATTTTCCTCAAATATAAAAGAGAACATGAATAATCTCTAACTAAGACTTACAATAATCATTTGTACTTTTTGAATGATAAAAGATTTGCAAAAAATACTCTCAATTTCCATTAATCTATTCCATTAAGGATTAGGAAAGCTGATGTCTTAAACTTTCTTTAAACTGCTTTCAAATGTTCAGGACACTAGATAATTTTCTAAAATGTAAATATAAAGAGAAAAGTCTCTCTGGAAAAATGAGAAAACATACTGCATATCTCCCTGAGGATACACAGCAGGGCTTATCTCAAAATAAGCTACACAAACTGGGCTATTTCAATTGCATAGCTTATTTTGAAATAGCTTATTTCAAAATTGAGAGCATCTACACAGCACTTATTTCAACATAGAGCACTCTTCCTCCAACTTCCCTTACTGCTCATACAATGAAGGTTACAGGAGTCGGATTATGAAGTCCTCCATCTTGACAGTATTTCAACATTATTTTGAAATATAGATACAGATACAGACTAAATTATTTCAAAATAACGCTAGTTATTTTGAAATAATGTTGCTGTGTAGACGTACCTTTTGAGAGGGGAATCGAACTACAACATTCCCGTTTCTTCGAAATAACAAGAGGAGTATCCACACTACCAAGCCCGTTATTTTTTAAATAACAGGCTGGTTATTTCGAAATAATAACTTCTGCTTTCTATGAGGAATAACGCTTATTTCAAAATAGTTCTTTCAAAACAGTGGTAATCTGGATGCTCCATTGCTGCTATTTCCAAATAACTACTCCCCAGAGTCACTCAAAGTAATTACTCCCCAGTGCTTCCCGAGGCTCTAAGTCGAGGTAGCATGCCCACATTAAGGGAGCCTGCCTAGGACTAATTTTGAGGCTTCCCTGTAGCATGGACATGCTACTTCAAAATAGTTATTTTGGGAGTTATTATTTCAAAATAAGTTATTTCAAAATAATTTCCTAGTGTAGACATGCTCTAAGAGCTTGCTCCCACAGTGGGGTAATGCTCTCTACAAGTGTGTGATTAATGCACTAACATGTGCATTAATTGGCTTGTGCAAACCCTGTTGGTGTGCATTAAATTCCCTAGTATGCTTTGTAGTGCTGTTTTAAACAGTACTACAATAAAGCCCTCTGGAAAACCTCTAGTACACACCAGCAGGGCTACATGGACCAGTTAATGCATAACACATTAGGGTGTGTTTTAGAAATTACACCCTCTTTCTCTCCTCCCAGATGGCACATGGGCTATGTCTAGACTGCAAGCCTCTTTCGAAAGAGGCTTTTTCTAAAGATACTTTCGAAAAAGCCTCTTTCGAAAAAGAGCGTCTAGACTGCAAGCGGAACTTTCGAAAAAGCAAGCCGCTTTTTCGAAAGAGAGCACCCAGGCAGTCTGGATGCTCTCTTTCGAAAAACCCCTGTTTGCATTCAAGAACGCCTTTTTTTGAAAGAGCACTTTCGAAAAAAGGCGTTCTTCCTCATGAAATTAGGTTTACCGCCGTCGAAAGAAAAGCCGTGTTCTTTCGATTTAATTTTGAAAGAACGCGGCTGCAGTCTAGACGCAGGTGAAGTTTTTTCGAAAAAAGGTTACTTTTTTCGAAAAACCCCCTGAGTCTGGACACAGCCATAATGTGAATGTGTAGGCAAGCCTTAAGTTTAGTTGTATGCTGAAAGTTAGACATATGCTTACATATCTTCTTGAATGGAAGCTATGCATAAGCTCCAGTGACTATAATGGAACTATATCAATTTATACCCACGCACTGAAATTAGTAACTAATGTTTGGATGTCTTCCCCTTGCTGGCAAAACAAACAACAACAACAACAAAACAACTGTTTCACACCTGAAATGTGCAAATCAGGCCACTTTCCCCTCAATGTGCACTTTCACAAAAACGTGCCAAGAGAAAGAGGTGCAAATCTATTAATTCTTGCAGTTTATTTTTGAAAATTGCAAGAGAAGGTCAACAGCATCTCAGTATCTGGCTGCTGCACAGAATTAATGTGTTTGTTTTATATTGTACACAAGAACCTGGAAAATATGATGGCAGCTTTTCTCTGTGGAATCCACCACTGCAAATTAGCTCACATTTTTAATAATATTTTAATAGTTAGCATATGGAAAATCAACCTGAGTAAAGATTTTTTCCCAACCACAACAAAACAAAATCTTAAATTTCATTTCAATGCCCTGTACATTGATCCATGGGACTACCAAAGTGGCAGAACACATAAGGATCAAACAAACACTGAAAGATGATGATGGTCCTGATTACCTACTTATGCTATCTTTCCAGGTGGGCAGGGCTTGAACTACAACCCTGGGGTACCCAGGTGAATGCCCTAACTCCTAGGCCACATGAAAACCCACCCACTGCCCTAACTTCAGGGAAGAAATGTGCCTACAGTGGGGACAGGGATAAGGAAGAGAATCAATTGGGCCGTGTCCAGACTCAGGGGTTTTTTCGGGAAAAGTAGCCTTTTCCCGAAAAAACTTCCCCTGCGTCCAGACTCAAGCCGCGTTCTTTCGAAATTATTTCGAAAGAACACGGCTTTTCTTTCGATGGCGGTAAACCTCGTTTCACGAGGAAGAACGCCTTCTTTCGAAAGTTCCTCTTTCGAAAGAAGGCGTTCTTCAATGTAAAGAGGCCGTCTTCGAAAGAGAGCATCCAGACTCGCTGGGTGCTCTCTTTCGAAAAAGCGGATTTCTCTTTCGAAAGATCCGCCTGCAGTCTAGACGCGATCTTTTGAAAGAGGCTCTTTCGAAAGATGCTTTCGAAAGAGCCTCTTTCGAAAGAAGCCTGCAGTCTAGACATAGCCCTGGTGTTGTGATTCACCATCCAGATCTTAGCTGGTCACAGCTTTGATGGAATTTAGTTTTTCTATCCTAGGATGGTCATAACGGTTCTCAAGGAGCTATCTACCAGATGGGACCACTTCAGAAAGGGACATTCTAGCCAGACACCCTCCGGACCTATTATACCCCGTATCCCAGCTCAGGAGCCAATTTCTGCTCCCCCAGGATGCATGCAAGGAGCTAAGCAACAGGCAGAGGTTCTGACTCATTCTTCTTAGGATGAGAAGCACAGCTGAGTATTGGTAAAATTTTACCAAACTCTTCAGCTTTCTGTAGAAGATTCCTTATTGATTCTTATGATCTGCAGCACAGTATGGAGAACTGGAGAGATTACAGATTAAAGTGTAACTGTAAAACAATATATGAATACTTACCTTCCAAGTGTTCTGTTGTAACTAGGCCTAATGCTACCATAAAGGCAATTTTCTAGGGAAAAAATAAAAAAGTTTAGTTTTGCATCTTATGCTATCTACTGGGAGAAAAATGTCATCTTAACTGCAAAAACTCCTTTTATTTATGTTATTAAAAAAGCAGAATTTTCTAAATATATAAACAATGTGAATTCAACTGAAGATTTGCTTCAATTACATGTCAACAGATATATCTACATACATGATTATACGAACGTTGCTAATACACCAAAATCCAGTGATACAAAAATAAGAAGTGACAGAATGATCAAAACTCCACACTGATAATCTTATTTTTGTTAGAAACTTTCCAGAGATGTGTTTAGTTCATTATTATTAGTGTTAGACATGGTATAAATTGAAGAGGCCAATGATTCTCTTAATAAGCTTTTACACCACTATGTATATATTCTACTACTTAGCAAGAAAACCATTACTAAAAGCTATAAGGTGCATGCTTTCTCATTACCATTCAATCTCTGCCCCTCCCGAACACTGTAGAAAGACTCTCATACATCTAAATTAGTCTAACCTCTGGACTACAAAGTAGAGTTACTGCTGCAGAAATAATATTTAATTAAAGTGTATCAGCTTCAACAGGCACACTCAAGGGTCCCCTCCCCAGCCTCTATCACCATAACTAGTTGTATAAGCCAGGTATGTACATTAGCAGAAGCACAGTCCTCTTTTCCCACACCCTTTTCAGGGAGCAAAGAGGGGATTTGACCCAGCAGCTCCCCATACCCACAAAAGAAGCCCCACCACTGGCCTAGAATGGAAACCTCATACACCATGGGGGAAATTCAGATGGTACGAATGGCCAGACTTGGTGAGACTAATGATCCTGCCAGCTCAGTTGCCTATCTTCCAAAAGTGGCTGATGCCAGATGCTTCAAAGGCAGTGGACAGAAGATGGCAATTATCAAGTGATCCATTCTGTGAGGGCCACTCCGAACAATCTGAGATTCAGGGGTGCCTGGAGCATGGGACTATGTCCCTGACCATCTTGGTTAACAACCCTCCAGGCAATTGCTCACTTTTTTATTGAATCCACTTACAGGTTGGCCTTCACGATGTTGACTAGCAAGAAGAGCCATATGCTGACTGTGCCTTGCAGGAAGACACCCCACCTTTGGTTTGGTTTAAATCTTCCTATTCATGTCCTTGGGTCACCCTGACTTTGTATTATGTGATGGGTGAATAACCGTTCTTATTCACTTTCTTCACTGTTTACAGAGCTCTAGCATATCCCGCCTTGGTAATGGTTTCCCATGCTGAAATGGGAGCTGAGCACCCCTTTCCCTGCAGTCACAAGTGAGGCCCCCTAACCACCAGGCTAAAGGTCCTTCCTCCTCTCGCCTCAGTTGTTTGGTGGCTCATTCAAAGATACCTCACAAGAAATGATTTTGACACCTAAGTGGTTCCTGGCTGGGGATACCATGGTCAGTATCTGGGAGGGGCGGAGGCTGGTTCAGTTTCCTTCTCCCTTCCTGAGAAAATATTTGAATAGGGCTCTGCATTCTCTCATGTGTGAGTCCCAGTCAGGGACATAAGGGATAGATTAAGGTGGGTTGTGCCTTGTAGCTTTTTGAGGCTGTGTCATTAGTAGCAATTAGGCAAGGTCTAATTGCTGGATTTGTTTGTAATCCAGTAATCTGAGTGCATACCCAGCTGTGCAGGTGATGTAAATTCAATTCCTTCCTCAGCTTCCTGAGAAGAGATTTGAGCAGTTACCTCTGAAGTGAATGTCTAGCTGCTGGATTAAGAAGTGGTCTCTCTTGGGTGGCCCTGCTGCAGTTGTTTCACCTTCATTCCATATTCATGGGGGATCATAAGGCTAGCAAGCAGCCCTGTGGAGCCTAACACTTTGGGTGTGTGCTTAGCATATGTTAGCGTGGGGTTCAAATCCCACTTTAGACATGTTGAGACGGGGTCTCAACCTTCACCTCTTACCTCACAAGTGAATGAATGGCCTAAGTGCTGGGCTAAGTGCTATTCTAACCTGGGGCCTCCCTTACTTTTTTTCTGCTAAAATGTCTCCACTTTCAGTACATGCTCTGTGTAGTTTACTGGTTGGATATTAATCCAGCAGGTGGGAGGTTGGGATTCACATTCCCTTCTTGCCTGTTGATCTCTTACCTCTCAAGTGACTGTCCTAAGACCCGGAGAGATATTCCAATGTCTGGCTCTCGGTGTTTCCTTTTGAGAATGGGCCATTAAATAATTAGTCACTGAGCCGCAACCCCCCAGTTAGTCTCCCTAAAGTCTCTGAACAGTGAATGTTCACATCCCCTTTATGCTCCCTGAGAAGCGATTTGAAAGTTGATCTCTTACTTCTTAAGTGAATGGCCTAAATGCTGGCCTAGCAAGCAGGTGGTGAGAGGTGGCAGCTCCTTTAACCTCTTCTGCTCACAGCTGGCCACATTCAGTAAATATGAAATGAGAATTGAGCCACTTAACTGTTGTGACTCCCTCTGTAGTCCTGCAGGGTGCTGGGAACCTGCCCCAGAGGCAAGGAGGTGCTGGTTCAAATCCCCTTTCTGCTTGTTGAAAAATGAATGGCAGTGTGATCTAGTACCTTCAAGTGTTCCACTTTAACTATACATTTTGAAGAATTTATTTAAAAAAACGATGTCTGAAGATCCAAGCATTTAAGGCTAAAGCTGAATACTCAGATTGTGCATCTAAATATCTATGCGAGGATTTTTTAGAGATGATTTTATAATCTTCAGCAACAAGCTAATGAAATATTTAAAGCAAATTTTAAACTAAAATCCTGTAGATATAGCAGTACACAACTAGTTTTGTCAGTAAATTCAGGTTTGGTACATGCCTGTTAAAAGGTTTCATTACCGCGTAATGACACTTTCACAGGTTCAATGCTAATAGGAAGTCTTTTCACTTTTAAGTTAACAGATCCACTGGGGTGGGGGGAAGAGACACCAGTCTGCAAGCAACAACAGCCAGTTATGGGAGCCTTCAGGAATGATCAGAACAGGGATAGGCAGAGGGGGAGGGGTTGTGCACTAAGACTCGGGCTATGTCTAGACTATGGAGTTTTTCTGGGATACCACTAGTGGTATCCCAGAAAAACTTGACCACATCCATGGAATGCGTCTGCTCTTTGGACATTTTTTGCAGAAGAGCAGATGCACTCTTTTGGAAGCCCCGTCTTCCTCATTTCATGAGGAAGAAGGGCTCTTCCAAAAGAGGTTTTTCTGAAATTTGGCCCAGTATAGATGGGCCAAATTTCGGAAAAGCCTTTTTTGAAAAAATGATCGCAAAAAGGTACACAATTGCAGCACACAATTTGCGCACCTTTTTCCAATTAAAAAGCGGCAGTCTAGACGTAGCCTCAGGAAAAGCATTGCCTCTGCTTGCCTCTTATACCCGGCTGCCCATGAGGGAATAGCAGTCTGACCAGAAAGCTCAGCCTCAGGACACAAGAGGCTCCTTAACAGCAATGCACATGAAGTGCAATGGCACCATAGGCAGGAGCAATTAAGTGTTAAACTGACTTCAAAAGAAATGTTTAGTTTCATTTTGTTTTAATCAAAAGCATCAAAATAAAACATTTAGACATTTCCTAAACAAAAATTTAATTTTTCACACTGTGAAAAATGTTGACATTTCAACTTTTTGTTCCAATTTGGGATGAAAACAAAGCTGAAATGCCAGAATTTCCAATGTGATCAGAATTTTGATTTTCAGAGCTAGTAAGCGTTATTATTTTCATTTTACATGTAAAAATATTATAACTGAGGGGGCACAAAGGGCAGATCTGGGTTCTTATATCCTTCTTTTCCCTTTTAAAATCCTTCATCAGAAAGGTGAAGTGAGATGCCCAAAACCACACTGAGCTAGGATTAAAATTGGGGAAGCTCTCAACCCCATATTCATTCTGCCATGGCACTTAGTCTGCTTAAAGTTCAGCTCTTGCCATAGATAAAAATGGAATTTCAGCATTGGCATGAAGGATGATAGGATTAAATTGTCTCTGGCTACTGTGGTGATGGCAGTTATATAACCCACTGATAGATTTGCATGACAAATCTTAGCTCTGATATTCTGCTCTCCCTACATGTATGAAACACCAACTGGTACCAGTGGGGGTCCTGCACATGAAGGAAAAGCAGAATATTTTATCTGAGCTCCACTATGAAGATCTGAGTGAGGAATTTTGTAAACAGATTTGAATTACATGCAGCACCTGATGAGACAAGCTGGGAGTTAATTTTATAGCATGATAAACCTCACCTTTAGTGAGCCAATAGACTTTTTAATTTCAGGCTCAGAAATTCAGAACAGTCAATATTTGATTAAATTCCCATAGCAGAGCCACAAATGAATATTGTATTACTTGAAAATTAATTTTTGAGGGGGGACTCAATCTCTTGAATCTAAAATTAAATTGATATTGGAACCCCAGCTAAATATTTCCACTTTTATTGTGAAAAATATTTTAATAAAATTCTCACAGAATTAATGATGGTAAGTTATTTAACATATGCACAGTATTCATTAAATGGACCTGATAGTTACTATTAAGGATAGAGGATTTAGGCCTTTATAAATGTCTGCAAGACAATTTCTTTTTTAAAAATCTAGTAGAAGATAAATTTCTTTAACGTGTATTATTTTAATGGTATATGTATTTTTATGGGCTTCGCTTTTTCATAATGATATGCTCCACTGAATTTCACTTAAAACACTTCTTCTAACACTATGTACTCTTCCAAAAATTTGAGGAACTATAATGGAAATTGCTAATTCTCACTGCACTAATCCATAAAACTGATAATTCAGTCTGTCCAGATTCTCATTTCATACTTATCTGCATAGTATATCAGACCCTTAAATAAGTTTAAAACTGAAGCATCCATCTTGCTATTCCTTTCCTTTGTAGATAGCAGTAAACTGTTTTGACTGTAATATTTTCTTTTAACTGTGGGAAAAAAAACATTGCAAAAGAGCTACACTGAGCAAATAAAAAATTATTTTATTTAAAAAAACCAA